AGCACCTGCAGTGCGAGATGCATTACCCCTCCCTTTGTCCAAAAGAACCACCTCGCAGTCATCACGAACAATGGTCATGGGCTGCTTAAATGCCATCTCCTCCCTCAGACAACAAGGGACAATACGTCATGAAATCTGGTATTGGAGTAATCACTCGTTATTCCTGCAATATAGAAGCTATTTTTTCACTGGCTGTCTGAGTAAGTAAGGTCTTAATGAGTATGATCCAGGGACAAATCAAGACAGATGATATTCAACTACGCACTGCTTCTTACCTTTCCTACCAGCATGAGTGTATTTTGTGGCTCCCCTGCTCCGGTGAACTGAAGTTTCACTACTCGCGCCTCGTGTCGAGGTATGCCTGTAAAATATGCATGACAATCATCTACTCGCAAGAAACCAGATAATAAGGAAGCGAACCGTTGGCAGCTCGATTGACTGCAGCCAATAAGGGGTATTGCTCCTTAATGATGTTCTGGTCAGACACAATTTTCATTCGCACCGATGATGAATCAGCGAAAATACTTTGAAGGTAATCGCAGATATTCGGTGGACTCATGCGCTCCGGATCGGACCCGGCTATGTCGCGGGCAACAGCCCTAAAGTAGTTATGTGTTGCTGGTAATACTTGCCTCGCTAGAATTCACGTTCCCACCAGCGGCCATGAAACAGCTATTTCCATATTGCATGTTGCCATCGTAAAATCCATAGCATATGAATGGACCTGCTTAGACATGTCAGATTCAAATTTGTCTTTTCAGATTTTGGATTACATGGCCTGGACATCCAGGATGCGAAATACAAACAGAATAGCATTGGACGCTCATGATGGGTCACAGCCTTTCATCACCTTGTGAAGGACAGCATGGTCCTGCCATGACAATTCCAGTGTTTTATCGCCAAGTTGATTGGCACACTGCTTGCAATGAAAGATGCAGGAGGAGCAGGAATCACTAATCGCGATTAGGAGAAAGTGTATTTGTCGATCGTTATAAGGTTAAAAGTGAGTTATTATCTAGCCTGTGCTGAAAAGTGTTGACTTACAGTAAGGTTACAAGCCATGAAGATGTTAACCATGATGGCAATGAACATAATTTCCACAAAATTGCATGACCAGCTGTATTTTTGTAAAGTAGGCATGAATCAGATGCTGCCAAACATTGCCTCAAAATCTATTCTCAAAGTTACCTAGGATTCAGTTGAGCTGACAATCAGCACCTTCCATGTGGCAAATGGCTAGGCAAAGCCAATATGGGACCCCGAATACCTAAAGTAGGAGAAACAATCTTGCTTAAAGGTCTTTTGAAACGTTCTATGGAATTCATAAGTAGGAGCAAAACGGCTAAAGTGCGAAGGATATCAAGGACAAATTTTCAAATGAAGGAAGGTGACTCCGGACACCTTAAGAACTATCGACCAGCTACCTGGTCATGGGT